CCACACCACACACCACACCACGCCGCACCGCAACACACCACACCACACCACACCACAACACAACACAACGCACCACAACACACCACAACATAACACAGCACAGCACAGCACAGCACAACACAACACAAGACCCCACACACAAGCACACACATACACATACACATACACATACACATACACATACACATACACATACACAAACACATACACATGGACATACACATACACATACACATACACATACACGTACACATACACATACACATACACACATACACACGTACACACATACACACATACACACGTTGCGCCCGCCTTCCCGCCATTGGACGCCCCTGTTTCCCCCCCGTGGTGGACAGTCAACTTACACATGCACGCGCACACGCACACGCAAACGCTCACACGCACACGCACACGCACATACACACGCATGCGCACACGCACACGCACACGCACACCATACCACATCACACACCACACTACAGCACACCACAGCGCAGCACAGCATCACACAACGCAACACAGCACACCACACCACACACCACTGCACTGCACAACACAACACAACACAACACAACACAACACAGCACAACACCGCACACACACAATCTCACACAGGCACACACATACACATACACATACACATACACATACACATACACATACACATACACATTCACATTCACATGCACACACCCACACACCCACACACGCTGCGCCCGCCCTTCGAGCCCTTGGACGCCCCTGTTTCCCCCCCTGTGGTGGGCAGTCAATTTACACATACACGCGCACACGCACACGCACACGCTCACGCACACGCACACGCACACGCACACGCACACGCATACGCACACGCAAATGCACACGCACACGCACACGCACACGCATACGCACACGCAAATGCACACGCACACGCACTCCACACCACACCACACCACACACCGCACCACACCGCAACGCACCACACCACACCACAACGCAACACAACACAACACAGCACACCACAACACACCACAATGCAACACAAGACAGCACAGCGCAGCACAAGACAACGCAATACCGCACAGACCAGCACACAAGCACACACACATACACACAACCACACACGCTGCGCCCGCCTTCCCGCTCTTGGACGCCCTTGTTTACCCCCCGTGGTGGGCAGTCAATTTACACATACACGCGCACACGCACACGCACACGCTCACGCACGCTCACGCACGCACACGCACACGCACACGCACACGCACACCACACGCACACGCACACACCACATCACACTGCCCCACACCACACCACAACACAACACCACGCAACACAGCACAGCACAACACAACACAGCACAGCACTGCACAACACAACGCAACACAGCACAACACAGCACAACACCGCACAGCACAAACACACACAATCACACACATACACATACACATTCACATTCACATACACACATAAACATACATATACACATACACATATCCATACTGACGCACACACACACAGACACACACACACACACACGCTGCGCCCGCCTTCCCGCCCTTGGACGCCCCTGTTTCCCCCCCGTGGTGGGCAGTCAATTTTCCCCTCTTGCTGCCGCTGCTCCTCCCGACGCTGATGCTGGTGGCTGCTTTGGTGTGACACACCTGTGTGCTGCTTCTGCTGCTCCTTCTTTTCCTCCTCCTCCTCCTTCTCCTCCCTTTCTCCCATCACTCCCTCTCCCTTTCCCCCTCGTCCCCTCCTCCCCCCCTCCAGGTCCGCTACGGCACCAGTCGGCGGATTGGGAGAGAAGATCAGCGCAGAGGGAGAGGGACGTGTGGAGGATGATAGACGCCAGCCACGCCGCGAGCGCATTATATCTGGTGCTCACCATCCTCCCCATTTTCCCCGTCGCGGCATTGCTGTTGCACCTGGCCACCCCCATGTCTTTGATGTGCTCGCCCGTCCTATCTCATGCCCCCGTTTCTTGCCCACGCCGCGCCCCAACCATCGGCTGGCTTCTAATCGCATTCCCGCCCACCCCCCACCGCCCGCCCCATCCTAGAGTTTCCCCCCTTCCTCACCCCCCCTCTGTCCTCCCCCGCCTCTTCCAGCGGACTGAGAGGCTTGGGTACCCTTGCCTCCAGAACTTTTCAGGCGGCGGCGGCTGCTCCAGACAGGGATAAGAAGTCCTGGTCTTCGGGCAGCGCGCGTCTGAAGGAGGTGTGGTTCAAGCTCTGTAATGAGCAGACGAAGAACTATATATATATATATATATATATATAAACTTGTCTGGCGTCGGGGACGCCTGCCCCTGGGACAGGCGTTTCCGTTCTTTGTCTGCTAATGTAAAGGCCTCCATCCCAAGACATCGTGAGTCATTGCCAACTTGGACGGCATTGGCCGTCTACGGTGGGTTGGCGTCGTGACGACGCGGCGGCGATCCCGCCGCGGGTGTTCAAGGTTGAGCGCCGACAGCGACCCAGAGTCGGCCGATCTTGAACGATCTGGCGATCGGGAATCGGCCGACCGTGCAACATTGAACGATCCACGCGGTGTCAGAAGCTGCAGAAAATTGGTCAGGAGGGGGGATGAAGCCAAAGCCGCTCAAAATCGGTCCCTGGACTCCGGGGGTCCATCTGGTGTAATTTTTCATCCCGGATCCGATTGTGACGGTCTCGGGGCCCGAAGACAGGGGCCCTGGAGACCGAGAAAGTAAAAAACGCCATTCCCGAGCCCACTGCCTCGAACCCTGCCCCCCCCTTCCTAATCGCCCGTCCCTTACTGATCGCCGGAAGTAGTGCCAGGCCACTTTTTTCTTGTGGCATCTTCGAGCCCAGTCATCAGGGCGCAGCCGTTCTTGCACAGAGGTGGAAATCAGGAGGAGGAGGAGGAGGAGGAGGAGGAGGAGGAGGAGGAGGAGGAGGAGGAGGCGAGCTTCGCAGGCTCGCGCGGGCGTCACAGCGGACCGCTGATGACGCCGCCGGCGGTTGTGACGGCGGATCCCGCCAGCTCAAAGTTCATTGGCTGTGGGTGTCCTCTGGCAGCCCGCAGGCGAGGCGGCCCGCCAGCCGAGGCGGCCCGCCGTGCCTCCCGCGGAGGTGCGCCTTCGCCTCCTCATCCTCCCCCTGCCTCCTTCCCCTCCTCCTCCCCTCCCTCCTCCCGTTCCCCCTCCCTCCCCCCCCCCTCCTCCCCTCCTCCCCCCCTCCCCCTCCTCCACAATTACACAATATGAATACTACTCTCCCACTTCCCCTGATGGCGTCCGGAAGATGTTCGGCACCCCCCCGCGTACTGTTTTTTTACACACAGGATTCCCCGGAGTTGGGTTTTCGCTTGTGTTTTTTTCTAAAATGCTGCTCTCGCTGAGGCGCTGGCCTAATTTTCGGGCTCCCGCTCCTTCCGAATCGTGTTCCCGCTGCAGCGCTGGCCTCATTTCCGCGCTCCCGCTCGTTCCGAATCGTGCTCCCGCTGCAGCGCTGGCCCAATTTCTGCGCCTCTCGTTGTTCCAAAACGTGCTCCCGCTGCAGCGCCGACGTTTTCGATCCTTTTTAAGAAGCCCCAAATCTAGAAAATGATCCCCGGCAAAAACATTGGAGGTGATTATACATCCGGTGTCGATTCGTTGATTTTTGGGGCCGCAGAAAGCCCCCCCCCCTTTTGTGCTTTCGCTTGTGTTTTTTTCTAAAATGCTGCTCTCGCTGATGCGCTGGCCTAATTTTCGGGCTCCCGCTCCTTCCGAATCGTGTTCCCTCCTTTCCTTTCGTCCCCGGGCCCAATTTCTGCGCCGTCGTCCTCCTCCTTTCCCTCTTAGGTAACAGGGTCAGATGCGAAGCCCGATTCGGTGAGAGGACAATGAAGTAGCTCAATGGGAAGGGATGGGAGGGAGGGGTAGGATGTCAGATGTTGACGCGAGCGCACCTAGCTTGTCCCCTGCCCCTCTCCCCCTCCCGACCCTCCCCCCTCCTCCCCCCCCTCCCCCCCTTCCCCCTCCCCTCCCCCTCCTCCTCCTCCTCCCTCCTCCCCCACAATTGCACAATCTGAATACTACTCTCCTCTCTCCCCTGGTGACGTCCAGGAAATGTTCGGCCCCCCTACGCGTGCAGGATCCTGGGATTTGAGTTGTTGCTTGGATTTGTTTTCGAAATGCTGCTCTCGCTGAAGCGCTGGCCTCATTTTCGGGCTACCGCTCATTCCGAATCGTGCTCCCGCTGCAGCGCTGGCCTCATTTCCGCGCTTCCGCTCGTTCCGAATCGTGCTCCCGCTGCAGCGCTGGCGTCATTATTTTCAGCGCCATGCCACGGCATGGTTTTCGGTCCTTCCAAATAGGGCCCAACATCTAGAAAATGCCCTCCGAAAAAAACATCGGAAGTGATTACACATTCGGTGCCGAGTCGTTAATTTTTTGGGTCGCCGCAGCCCCCCCCACTTTGGGGCGTCGCCATGCCAAGCTATGTCAGGCTACGCGTCCTCCAAATCGTGCTCCCGATGCAGCGCTGGCCTCATTTCCGCGCGTCCGCTCGTTCCGAATCGTGGTCCCGCTGCAGCGCTGATGCAATGCTTCACTGCGCAATGCCACGCCATGCTATGGCATGTATGCTGCGCTCTCACGCCATGCCATGCGGTGCTATACCATGCATCGCGTACCCTCTCGCAATCATGGCCCTGCTCGACATCCGACTGTGCGAATAGAGAGGGCCTGCGCGCCATGGCAAGTTATGGGAGGGAGGGGTGGGACGTCAGACATGACGCGAGCGCACCTAGCTTGCCCCCCCTCCCCCTCCCCCTCCCCCTCCTCCCCCTTCTTCTCCTCCCCTCCCCCTCCCCCTCCCCCTCCCCCTCCCCCCTCCTTCTCCCCCTCCCCCCCCCTCCTCCTCTCCCCCCCCTCTTCCCCCCTCCCCCTCCCCCCCTCCCCCTCCCCCCCCCCCCCCCCCCCTCCCCCTCCCCCTCCCCTCCCCAGCCGAGGCGCGGCCCGCCGCGCGCAGCCTGCCGGAGTGCGCGCCGCCCGGGCGCGCGCCGCCCAGGGCCCCCGTGGCGGCCAGCACGAGCGCGGCGCTGCAGCAGAGCTTCGTGGCCTATACGTACTCGTTCTCGGACAACCCGGCGGTGCCCCGCGCCCCCCGCGCGGCCTTCGGGAGTCGCAGCTCCCTGCGGCGAGCCTCTCGGTGTTCGGCTCGAGGCAGGTAGACAATGTCCTTGTCCTCGGCTCGGACGTCGGGGGAAATCAGCAGCACCATCGCCATCGCATCGCCGTCGCCATCGCCGTCATCAGCATCAGCATCAGCATCAGCATCAGCATCAGCATCAGCATCAGCATCAGCATCAGCATCAGCGTCAGCGTCGGCATCGGCATCGGCATCGTCATCACCACCATCATCATCGTCATCATCATCAGCATCATCATCAGCATCGTCATCAACATCAGCATCATACTCATACTGATTATGGTAATGATGCTCATAAGTCATACTCATAATCTTCAACATCATAATGATTTTATTGATTATCAATCACTATAAACATCGTCACCATCAACCTCAACATCAACATCAGCATCACCACCAACATCATCATAATCATCATCAGCAGCATCAACATCAGCATCGCCATCACCGTCACCATCATGATCCTCATTCTCGTCATCATCATCATCATCACCATCACCATCACCATCATCATCATCATCATCATCATCATCATCATCATCATCATCATCATCATCATCATCATCATTATTATCACCATCAGCATCAGCGTCAGCATCAGCGTCAGCCGTCAGCATCAGCGTCAGCCGTCAGCATCAGCATCATCCTCGTCCTCCTCCTTCCCTCCTCATCATCAGCATCATCAGCATCAGCATCAGCATCAGCATCATCATCAAATGAGGCTCCGTGGCCTACCCGTTTTCAATCTCAGACAACTGGCGGTCGCCCACGCCCTCTCAGATATCTCCTGAGATCCGGGCGTTGCAATTTTGTCGCTACAAGCGTCTTCGCCCATTTTCGGGCCCTGGGACCCTCCCTTACAGCTCGATGCGACCCGAAAAATTGTGCACAGCGATGGGGTCTGGGCTCTTCTCGCTACGTCGGATCTCCGGGTCCAGCGTCTCGGCGTAATCGAGAATCGAGACGGGTAATGTTTTGCATCGTTTGCGGCCTCTTGGGGTCCTCGCCGGGTCCCAAGAAAGGTCCCAGGGAAGTGGTCGGGAGGTCGAGGGCCCGTGTCCCGAAAAGAGTTAGACGCCGGATGTCGGGGCCCCGCGCTGTGAGACAATCAGAGTCTAGGCCTCCCAGACAGGGTCGAAGCAGAGGGGTCGGGGGATCGCGCTGCATCGCCGATGCATCGGCGATGTGGCTCGATACGGAGCCCGATATTGTCCACGCCGCCGGCGCCGATGCAACGCCGAGCTGACGTCGCCGATGCATCGCCGATGCCTCGGCGATGTGTCGCCGAGTCATCGGTGACACGGCGCGATCCTCTGCTCCCATCTTTACGGACCCCATGCAGGAGGCCTCTACATTCTGACCGAGGTATAGGATCGAGTTCTGTTCGGGGAGGGCACCCTAATGTTCTTCGTGCTTGTTGGATGCTCTTGTGCATCCTGTGAAGGGTACCCTCGGATGCTGTGTGTGTGTGTGTGTGTTTGGGCCGGCGGAGGGTCTCGTGTTCTTGAGGGATCTTCTTCTGGCCCAGGTCTCGCTGCACAGAAGCGCATCGCTCCCAGATCTCTGGCGAGGAAGCCTTTTCTGCCCCGGTGCGGTCTTTCCTCGTTAGCGGCCCCGGGGGGCCGCTGTCGGGCCCCAGGGGTACCAGAGGCGGACCTGGGACGAGAAGCTGGGGCCCGTGGAAGGGGTCGAGGCCTCCCAGGCCGCGGATCTAAAATCATGCCGGAGGATGTCTGGGGGTGCATTGTTTTCTCGATGGCCTTCAGGACGTGTGTCAGCCCGAGCGTGTGTTCATCCCGTTCAGTTCCGCCGACATCGCGCAGCTTGTGTCGGCCCTCGGTGGACATGCACGCGCTGGCGCCGACACGCCTTCTGAGGATCATCGATCTCCGGCCTCGGGTGGCCCTCGCCAGGCACATGGGGCCGTCGAGAGACGCTTGTCGGGATGAAGAGCCGGTCCCGTGGAAGGGGCCCAGGGCAGGGTCGATCCCTGGGAGCGGCGTCTCCTGCCCACGCCCACGGCCGACGCCCTCGTACTGCCCAGCAGGCCCGAGCTCTGGCACTCACGCCTCAGGACTTCACGCTCTGAGCGTGCTCCGCTGCCCGCGGCGTCTCCTCCGCCCGTCCGCGCTCTTCCCGCTCCAGGCTGTTTCCACTGGGGCCCCGCGGCGCCCCTCGGTTGCCTGAGACCGCGGCTTGGTGCCAAGCCGCTGCGAAGACAAGTTGCCTGCGTGGATGTGCACGACTGTCGTCGTCGGCGTCGTCGTCGTCGTCAGCGTCGTCGTCGTCGTTGTCGTCGTTGTCGTCGTCGTCGTCGTCGTCGTCGTCGTCGTTCGCATCGTCGTCGTCGTCGTCGTCGTCGTCGCTCTGGAAGCACGGGGGTCCTGGGGGCTCTCGTCGCCACGGCCGGGCGCGGCGTGAAAGAGTGGCCAGGGCGGACCCCCAGCGGGGCCCCAGGGATTTTTGAGCGGCTCTTGGGGCCTCGCCATGAGGAAGGATGTCCTGAGGGGCCCTCCAAAAAACATGGAGCGGCGAGTTTTTGGCCGTTTTCGGCCCCTGGGGGCCCTTGCCAGGCCTCGGGGCTATCAAAAACCGACTCGGGACGAAAAGCTGGCCCAGGAAAGTGGTCCAGACCTCAAGGCCCACGCATCGAAAAGATGGAGCGGCCAGATGTTCTGGGATAGAACCGATGCTCCGGGATTGAGCTGTTTCCTGTGATTCCGGCCCTACGTCTTCTGTGGGCCTCCAGACGATGAGGGAGCTGAGGGAGGAGGAGGAGGAAGAGGAGAAGGAGGAAGAGGAGGAGGAAGAGGAGGAGGAGGAAGAGGAGGAGGGGGAGGAGGAGCAAGAGCAGGAGGAGGAGGAGGAGCAGGAGGAGGAGGAAGAGGAGGAGGGGGAGGAGGAGCAGGAGCAGGAGGAGGAGGAAGATGATGATGATTATGAGGAGGAGGAGGGGGAGGAGGGGGATAATGATGATGATGCTGATGATGCTGATGATGCTGATGATGATGATGCTGATGCTGCTGCTGCTGTTGCTGATGATGATGCTGATGATGTTGATAATGATGATGATGCTGATGCTGCTGATGATGTTGATGAGGATGATGATGATGAACACGATGATGAGGAAAATGATGGTGTTGATGATGTTGATGTTGATGGTACTGATACTGATGCTGCTGATGATGCTGATGCTGATGATGATGAACATGATGATGATGGTGATGATGCTGATGATGATGATGCTGATGATGATGATGATGATGAGGATGTTGATGAGGATGATGATGATGATGATGATGAGGATGATGATGATGTTGATGATGATGATGATGATGGTATGATATGATGCTGCTGATGATGCTGATGCTGATGATGATGAACATGATGATGATGGTGATGATGCTGATGATGATGATGCTGATACTGATGATGATGAGGATGTTGATGAGGAGGGGGATCATGATGATGATGATGATGATGATGATGATGATGATGATGATGATGATGATGATGATGATGATGATGATGATGATGATGATGATGATGATGATGATGATGATGATGATGATGATGATGATGATGATGATGATGATGATGATGATGATGATGATGATGATGATGATGATGATGATGATGATGATGATGATGATGATGATGATGATGATGATGATGATGATGATGATGCAGGAGGAGCATGATGATGATGATGATGATGATGATGATGATGATGATGATGATGATGATGATGATGATGATGATGATGATGATGATGATGATGATGATGATGATGATGATGATGCTGATGCTGATGATGATGGTGATGGTGATGATGACGATGATGATGCTGCTGCTGATGATGATGATGATGATGATGATGGTGATGATAATGATGATAATGATGATAATGATGATAATGAGGAGGAGGAGGAGGAGGAGGAAGAGGAGGAACAGGAGGAGGAGGAGGAGGAGGAGAGGGAGAGGGAGGAGGAGGGGGATGAGATGATGATGATGATGATGATGATGATGATGATGATGAGAGGATGATGATGATGATGATGATGATGATGATGATGGATGATGATGATCTGATGATGATGATGATGATGATGATGTGACGACGATGGGGCGATGATGATGATGATGATGATGATGATGATGAGATGATGATGCGATGATGATGATGATGATGATGAACATGATGATGATGGTGAGATGGATGATCGATGGGAGGAGGAGGAGAAGAGGGGAGAAGGATGAAGGGAGGAGGAGGAGGAAGGAGGAGGAGGACGGGGGATGAGATGATGATGATGATGATGATGATGATGATGATGATGATGATGATGATGATGATGATGATGATGATGATGATGATGATGATGATGATGATGATGATGATGATGATGATGATGATGATGATGATGATGATGATGATGATGAGGAGGAGGAGGAGGAGGAGGAGGAGGAGGAGGAGGAGGAAGAGGAGGAGGCGGAGGAGGAGGGGGACCAGTGTAAACCGAAGAATCATCAATGAGGTTGGAATCAACCCTCCCTCTAAGCTACCCCATTGACAGGCTCCTGTAGGGTTATAAGGCTATTAGGGCTACACGGCTAGGGCTTTAGGCCTATAAGGCTCTAGGGCTATAGGGCTATTAAGGCTACAGGGCTATATGGCTATAGGGTTATAGTGTAATATGGCTATAGGGCTATAAGGCTATAGGTCTATAGGGCTATAGGGTTTTTGGGCCATTGGGCACCCTGGCACCCGGGCACCTGGGCACCCAGGCACCCTGGCACCCTGGCACCCGGGCACCTGGGCGTGCCGCCGAAATCGGCGCCAAACCTCACCTAGCCCTATGAATCCGCTAGGACCCCAACAGAGGCAAGCTCTGATTGGGGAAATAGTGAAGATTTCGGTTTGCGCGCGACGACGCGCGCGTGTGCAATTTGTCCTTCGTTTGGCCAGTTTTTTTTTTTTTTTTTTGAAAACTGAGGATTTCTGATAAAAGAGTGTGCGCGCATATTTTGTGACAGGGAACGAGGGGGGGGCGGTACCGATGGCTTGGGGTGGTACGAGTTCAAATATAGGGTGGGCGATGGGTCAACATCATGTCTAAATTTCAATACGAAGAAGCCGTACCGATAAGATCGGGAGGGGGAGGGCGAGAGTGTTTTTTTTTTTTTTTTTTTTTTTTTTTTTTTTTTTTTTTTTTTTTTTTTTTTTTTTTTTTTTTTTTTTTTTTTTTTTTTTTTTTTTTTTTTTTAAAAAAGGAGAACCCATGTTGTACAGTCTAGGCGGCGACGGGATGGGCGGCGATTTGGCGGCGACGGGGCGGCGACGGCGGCCGCATAGCCGCCAGACCGCCATCCAGGATAGGTTCCTCAGAAGAGAAGTAATAACTCCTAAGTGCAAGCGCTGTTTGGGGAATGTCTCCCATATCCCAGAAACCCTGCCCTGGAGGCCCACGAGCCGAATACACCGAGTTACCCCTCCCCTCGTCGGGGCCTTTCTGGAGCCTCCCCGGAGGTTCCCTGGCCCCCCGGAGCTTCCGAAGGCCACAGAAGTGCCAAGATGGCTTCCAGACGGTCCCAGATGGCGTCAAGACGGCCCAAGAGGCCCCCAAGACGTTCCAAGACGTTTCCATTTTGGCTCAAGCCTGCTCGACTCGAAGCATTCTGGCGCGCTTGAAGGTTTGACAGAGGTTGTTCGAAGCAATGGGTGGCGACGGCGACGCGCTCGACAATGACAAGATCATGGTCTGCGACGGGTGCTGCTGCTGCTACGACGGCCTGCTCTTCGGGGATGGTTGCATTGGGTGCATGGCAAGCGAGACCATGTGCTGCCTGGAGGTCGAGTACTGCTGCAAGTCAGGACAGGAGAGTCTCTGCTGCATCTGCTGCGCGATGCGCTGCGTCTCGCCCACAGTGTGCATCAAGTCGCAGGGCCAGATGTGCTGCCTTGCTGGGGCGGCCGCCATCCCGTGCGACGAGGAGGTTCCCTGCCTGGTCGGCTCGTGCGGCATCATCTGCTACCCAACGATGGCCATCTGCAAGACGCTGGGCGACATCAAGGGTGGGGGTGACGGGGGTGGACCCGACGCTGAGCAGGTGGGCTGAGGCCAGTGAGACGTGTCCAAGCAGCCGTTCTGCCTGCTGGAGACCCCAGCATGGCCACTGCGGCACGACAGCCAAGGCCACGAATGGCCCCGTTGCTCGGATGCACAAAGGAGGGCCAGGCTGCAGCCGCGATTCGGATCTTTTTTGTTGAGGTGTACACCACGCTCGGAGCTGCGCAGAAATTGTCTCGCACGAGGGCAAGAGCCGTTTGCCGCTCGGCCACGCCGTGCCAACCTGCCAATCAAACTGCTGCGGAGGCCCCGCAGTGCCCTCCGCCGGCCCCTGGAGCGTACCTGCTAGAAAAAAAAAGAAAGACGTTCCAAGACGTTTCAAGACGGCTCCAAGAGGACCCTCAAGAGGGCCCGAAGAGGCAAAACATGCTTCATTCTTTTTGGAAATCGCACTTTTCTAGCAAATTCACTTTCTGATTCTGTCAGTTTCCAAGACGGCCAAGAGGCCCCAAAGAGAGCCCATGAGGTCCCAAAGAGGGCCCGACACGCCCCAAGAGGGCCCCGAGACGGTCCAAGAGGCACCCAGGACGGCCCAAACGGCTCGTAGAAGGCCCCAAGGAGGGCCCAAGGGAGGGAATTCGAATGGAGATGTCGAGGCCTCCGCCGCAAGAGGACCCCGAAGACGTTTAGCGGGCCCCCAAAGACTCCCCAAGAGGACCCACAAGGGCCTAAAGAGGCCCGAAATTTGGCCGCGAGAGGCGCCCCACGAGGCTTCCAAATTGCTTCGAAGAGGCTGCCCAGCTGCTTCTCCAGAGACCCGAATAGGAATTCAGGAGGTCTCCGGTGGCCCCCGTTGAGACTACAAGATATATCTTGCACGCTCATCCTCTTTCTCCTTTCCTCCTCTTCTCTCATCCTTAAGCCTCCCACCACTTAAACACTCTTGTCTGTTTCGCTTCGCATCCTCTCTCTTCATGCATGAGCAAAAAGACGTGCGTACATGTATGTGTGCATACATGTATGTATGTGTGTACGTATGTATGTATGTATGTATGTTTGTGTGTTTGTTTGTTTGTTTGTTTGTTTGTACGCATGTGTGCATACATGTATGCATGTCTGTATGTATGCATGCATGCATGTATGTATTGAGGTATGTATGTATGCACGAATGCATATGCATGTATGTCTGCCTGTCTGTCTGTCTGTCTGTCTGTCTGTCTGTATGCATGTATGTATGTATGTATGTGTATATATATATATATAGATGAATGCATATCTCTATAAATACACATGCCTTCCAGGCCAGGCGGGGGTGGCGCGTACGTATGTATGTATGCATTTATGTATGTATGTATGCATGCATGCATGTATGTATGTTGTATGTATATATGAATGTATGAATGTATGTATGCATGTATGTATGTATGTATGTATGTATGGATGTGTGTATGTATGCATATTTGTATGTATGTATGTATGCATGTATGTATGTATATACGTATGTGTGTATGCATGTATGCATGTATGCATGTATGCGTGTGTATGTATGTATGTATGTATGTATGTATGTATGTATGTATGTAGGTAAGTAGGTAGGTAGGTAGGTAGGTCGGTATGTATGTATGTAGGTATGTATGCATGTATGCTTGTATGCATGTCTGTATGTATGTATGCATGCATGCATGTATGTATGTTTGTATGTTTGTATGTTTGTACGCATGCATGCATGCATGCACGCATGTATGTATGCATGCATTCATGTATGTATGTATGCATGTAGGTATGTGTGTATGCATGGATGCATGGATGGATGGATGGATGTATGTACATGTATGCATGTAGGTATGCGTGTATGCTTGGATGCATGGATGCATGGATTGATGGATTTATGTACATGTATGCATGTAGGAATGTGTGTATGCATGGATGCATGGATGGATGGATGGATGGATGGATGGATGGACACATATATATGTATATATATATATATAGGTATATATGTATGTATGTATGCATATAGGAATGTGTGTATGCATGGATGTATGGATGGATGGATGGATGGATATATATATATATATGTATATATGTATATTTATGTATATGTATGCATGTGTGTATGTATGAATGTAATGTAATGTAATGTAATGTAATGTAATGTCATGTAATGTAATGTAATGCAATGTAATGTAATGTAATGTAATGTAATGTAATGTAATGTAATGTAATGTAATGTAATGTAATGTAATGTAATGTAATGTAATGTAATTGAATGTAATGTAATGTAATGTAATGTAATGTATGTGTGTGTAGGTATGTGTGTATGTATGTATGTATCCATGAATGTATATATTTATATCTATATATTCACATGCCTTCCAGGCCAGGCAGGGGTGGCGCGTGCTCCGATCCGGGCCTCAGAATGGGCCCGGCCACGGGACCGCTGCGGTGTGCACGGATCTCCCTCCCCCTCGACGCTGGTGGTGCGCGGCGGCCGCTCCCGGGCCCCCGCGGCGGCCCGCGCTGCCCCCCTCCTCCCTGAGGAGGGCAGGGTAGGCCCAGGCACAAGCAGTCGTGGAAAATACTGGGTAGAGATTGGAACAGATGGGAGGTGGATGGGGAAGACGGCAGTCCAGGAACTATGAAACATGCTGTGGTTATCTATGTGCACCCTCAAATCTGGAGAAGTGTTATTTGCATTCGCACGCCACGCGCTCGCTGCTAGAGCGCGCGCGCGGATCGCCTCTGCCACGCCGCGACGTAAAACATCTATCTATTTGCGCCTCCCCGGACTCCTTCACCCTCCGCCGCGCCCCCCCGCCGTGCTCCCCGCGGGAGGTGCTGCAGCAGGAGCCCCCCGCGCGCGGAGCGCGCGTGCGCGGTGCCGCACCCCCTCTCCCACCCCGTCTCTGTGACCGTTACCGGACCCTGCCCCTGCGGGTCCATTGGGCGCTGGTGTATGGGAGGCCCTCGGACGGGGCCAGGAGCAGGGCAAACCTAATGCAGCGCGTTCAACGCCGCGGCGTCCGATACATCTTCCAGAGCCGCCGGATCTGAGAGATCCTCGATTTGTCTTTGATTCCATTCTCGTCCTGGCTTCGTCTTAGAGGAGCTCGGTCGGGTGGCCCTGTGGCCGTCGAGTGCATCCGCCTCGGGGACACTGAATCCCGCCTGCAGGGCGTCAGGGCAGACCTGGAGGACAAGTCGCCGGCGGAGGGAGGCCTGCGCCGCCGTGCAAAGGGAGTGCGGCGGGGACGGCGAGGAGGTGCTCGCGGTCGACGACCTGAACTGGGAGTGGGCGCTGTACGGGATCTATCCTCACCCGATTTTATCCTCGTCCTGGCTTCACCTTAGCTGGCTGGGTTATCGGTCATCCCCGCTGGGGTTCACCTCTCTGCAGGCGTCCTTCAAGCTCCGAACTCCGGCTGGCCCGTGCGGCAGGCACGTGCCGCGTCGGCTGGCTGTCCGGACATCGGCCAGCATCGAGCGATCTGCGCCGTCGGGAAGCAAGGGCGCCCTCGAGGGCGCGAAGTCATTCGCGCTTCACGATTCGGCTCCGGTTCCTCCTCCTCTTACTCTCCCCTGGGGGGCGGTGCGAGAGCGCGAAGTTCTTCGCGCTCCGTGCTTCACGCAGCGTGAAGCGCGAAGCTGGGCGCCCTTGGGAAGCCTGCGGCCGTCGAAAGAGAAGTCGGCATAAACATAAACTTTCGAAGCTCCGCGCAGATTTCTGAGATCGGCGCCCGCGCCCTCCCTGGTGGTCCAGCGCAGATCCCAGGAATCCACGTGGACCTCCAACAGTTTACGTTTGTGCCGCTTTTTCATCATATATGTCTGGAAGGCTGCGGTTGCCCGGGTTTCAACGATCCACGCGGAGCTAGAAGCCGACGCCAACGTCATCGCGACGTGGCGCTGACGCACCCCTCCTCCCCGCCGTTGTGGCCGCGCCGTGGCTCTCGTCGCTGTCCTGCGTCGTCGTCGTCGTCGTCGTCGTCCTGTGTCCTGCATTCTGCGTCCTCGTCGCCGTCGTCGTCGTCGTCGTCGTCGTCGTTGTCGTCCTCGTCCTTCTAATCCTCATTATCATCCCCGGCCTCCTCCTGCTTATCCTAATCTGCATTCTCATACTCCTTCCCCGCCTCTGCCTCCTCCTCGATGATTGTCATCATCCTCGTCCTAACCACCATCACCATCACCATCATCATCACAATCATCCTCATCACCACCAGCATCATCCTCATCATCCTCATCCTGATTCGCCTCATCATTATCGTGGTCCCCATGCCCACCATCATCATGATCATCATCATCACCATCATCAGCAATATCATCATCACCACCACAAAGACCACCACTACAATCATCATCACCATCGTCAGCATGACCATTATCATTCTCATCACCATCACCATCACCATCACCTTCATCGTCATCATCGTCACCCCAATCATCATCATCACCATCATCACCATCATCATCATCGTCGTCGTCGTCATCATCATCGTCGTCATCATCATCATCATCATGATCATCATCATCATCACCATCGTCAGCACCATCATCATCATCATCAGCACCATCATTACATGATCATCATCATCACTCATCAGCATCCTTGTCATCATCATCAGCATCACCAGCATCATCAGCATAGTCATCATACGCACCAACATCATCACCACCACCAGCATCATCATCATCGCCAGCATCACCAACACAAACAATACCATCATCATCACCATCATCAGCATCAACATCCTCATCAGCATCATCAGCACCATCATCAGCATCATCGGCGTCATCAGCATCATCAGCATCATCATCGTCATCACTATCACCAGCATCAACACCATCATCAGCATCAGCATGATCATCATCATCATCATCATCACCAACGTCATCGTCATCCTCATTTTCATCATCGTCATCATCATCACCATTACCATCATCAACATCAGCATCATCATTATCATCATCATCATCATCATCATCATCATCATCATCATCATCATCGTCATCGCCTGCGTCTTCCTTTAGCGCATCCTGAAGAGGTGGAGG